GATAATATTTTATATTACCAAGGAATATATTTGAAGCCTTGTATACCATATGAGTGAAGTCTAATGCTAATGAGTGTACACAGACAATCAGGAATTTAGACTATCCCTGTTAATTGTAACAGTATAAACATCCTCCCCAGTATTTCCGTTATTCCCGTTATATCCGATATCTTCCAGATTTGCAACTCAAAGATATTTTAGTAGTGCACTCGTCTATGCATAGAAATTACAAATCTGATACCGTAGCTGTACAGTATCACAAATTTTCTTTAAGCAACCATATAAGATACTAAAGTATTTGTTTAATTTGAATTATGTAACCAAAAGATTACTAAGAAAATAGCTTAGAATCATCAAAGCCAAGAAAAGTTTTACAACGGTCATTAGATTGAAAATTTAACGCTCGAATACAAGGCTTAGGCATTATCTCTGCTAGTTGGACTAGGTCTAATATGCTCAAAACTCTCATGGAACATTACTTGTCTGTACAAAAAGATAGATAAGTACTATTCTCCACTATATATATGTATATATAGATATGATCCTAAATGTTTTCCTAACACATCTCAATTGTTATGCAAAATACGTAATGAAAGCGTTTACAATATTAGTGCCTCTAGCATTTTTAAACATGGTGCTTGGTGAGAATATAGCTACCTTCAAAATGGACTTTAAGGTTTTGAGAGGGAATGCTAAGAGAGATATACCATTTGATGAAAGACCCTATGTTTCTAAGAGAGATTCTACAGAAATGGAATTACGAAATAGACAGACTTTCTACTTAGCTAACATTGAGGTTGGCTCTAATGAAGATGAAATTGGGGTTTTGGTTGATACTGGATCATCAGATTTATGGGTTACGGCACATGATTCAAATTGCGAAAGATCATTGTCCAAGAGGGATATACAAGTGGATAGTAAGTTAACGAAAATGAAGGAAGATCTGAGCAGAAAGTATCCTGAAGATAATATCTACGATGTGAATCAAAATGCAGCCGAAAGAAAAGGTACAACTTCAGAGATAAGCCTTCGACCTGTATGGAATATTAACCTCTCGGACTTAAACCTGGACATTAGAAATTCGGGAAGTAGTTACATAGGAAATGACCTCAAAAATTTAAAATCTTCAGATAATGAGTGTACAAGATACGGATCATTCAGGTTTTCCGACTCTGACACCTTTAGCAGAAACCAGTCAGCCAATAGGTTCTCGATTAGTTATGCGGATGGAACATATGCACGCGGATTTTGGGGTACTGATAATGTTAGTTTTGGCAATATAACTGTAAGGGATTTATCATTTGCAGTTTCAAATGACACAACTTCAGACATTGGAATATTAGGTATAGGACTTTCAGGACTAGAAACTACATACTCCAATCAGAATGGAGGTAATTATCAATACGAAAATTTGCCATTGAAATTAAGAAATCAAGGTGCTATCAATAAAGCAGCTTATTCAATTTACTTAGGTGACGAAGACTCAAGAACTGGCACTGTATTATTTGGAGCAGTCGATTCTGCTAAGTACTCTGGTGATTTGCAGACGGTGCAGATTGTAAACTCCGCAAGAAATTATGGATATTCGGACCCTATTAGAATTGAAGTTATTGTAAATGGGATTTCCTTAAATGATTCGAATACTGAAGTGGAAATAACTTCCAATGATTACACAGCTGTTTTGGATACTGGGTCTACATTTTCTTATTTTCCTACTTCTCTTTTAAGTTCTCTTGGGGAAACCCTAAATGGTCAGTTTTCATCATCTTTGGGGGCTTACATTGTTGATTGTATTGATAATAATTCTTATTTCTTCAGTATTGATTTTAGTGGTGTTAGAATAGATGTACCTCTAACAAGTTTGATTCAAAGATATAGCTATAACCAATGCTTTTTGAGTATTTTAGAACAATCAAATTCTGATTACATATTATTTGGAGATAATGTATTAAGAAGTGCATATCTCGTTATTGATTTGGATGATTTGGAAATTTCTATGGCGCAGGTTAGACATACAACGGAGGAGGATGTTGCAGTTATTTCATCTTCAGTTCCAAATGCCGTACGCGCTCCAGGATACTCGTCTACATCTCTCCCGAGCTCAGTAGTAGAATCAGATAGCCCAGCTGGAACATTTGGGAGTGGTTCTAATTCCGGTGGAAGAAGTGGAAGAAGCTCCGGTGCTTCAATGAATAGGTTTTCCAAAGGTAAGGTTTATGGATTATTTATTGGATTGAGTATTACGGTACCTTTATTCTTGTATTAATTTAGATTAAATTTCATACTATAAGCTTTTATTAAAATCTCGTTCATAAATTATATTAGAAGTGATTAGTAGCAACCACAGCTATTAAATATGGTGAAATATCAGGTTCGCGACGATTATGCAAAGGACTTTTCCTGGTGCAGTGTTGTAAGCTCATATCTTGGAACAATATCTTAGAAATCAAAATACCTATAGTCCAAGGATATAGAACGAGTAAAATCTTCTGAAGCTTATTTAGAGTAATACTTTACATAGTTGAAACGACTAGCTAATGTCAGACATTTGTGCATTAAGAATCTACATTTTATAACCCACTTGCATAATAAAACTGAGGGGATAATTATGTATCACCCTGTGGGCTTGCTTTTTCCGAATTAATAATAAAGCCGAAACAGAAAAAGTACTTAAGTTATTCGAAGTACCAAAAAACCCGATCAGGTACTTTTAATAAAATAATTATATATAAAAGATATATGAATTTACAAAGGCAAGCAAACTGGAATCGTGGTTTTGTTTACTTTTAAGCGCCATGATGTCATGGTGCTTTTGAAACCCAAATACATAAATATAGAATTACCTAATATACAATCCGGCATTAGATAAGCTAGAATTTTCTCCATCAAATACACACCTCCAAAACCTTGAATTTTATACTGTGTCAGGATACACATTGCCTATAGCCCGCCAATATGCCTTACCCATTAGTAAGAGAAGAATATAAATTTGGGAGGTCGAAAATTTCGCATTTTTACAGAAGTTGTTGAAAATTTATTAATTTTGTGATAATTGTAAAATGTGAAAATCTTGAAATATGTCATATAAACTTCAAATTTAAAAGACAGTTATTTCTAGCATCTTATAATATGTTAGTTATATCTTATCTATTTTTTTCATATCGAATTTGTGTTGAAGTCAAATATTGCTGAGAACCAAAATCCGACGAACAAAATGCTGCTCCTTTTTGCATTGACTTTTAACACTGGGTTTTTCTTAAATGGAGTTGCATGAATTACATATACGAAAAATTGTAAGCCTATCTGTTTTAGTGCATAGTGACAAAATAGTCTTTTGGCAGAGAAATTGCAAACAAATATATACCACGCTATGTAGACAGTAGGTATATTTCGCAGCTCAATATTATAGACATTAAAAGCTACTTCAAAGAGGATTGCAAGCAGCATTATTTAGCGAATCAAATAGTAGTATTCAAGATGATTCTGAGATTCCAGGAGTCAAAGAATCAAAATTTAATATATATTTCTAAGTCTGCTTTTATCATGCTTCGAAGTCACATATGAATCCTTATCTTAGAGTCCATCCGAGATATTTTATGGTTTTTGGATATTGATTGTGACAAATATAGATAATTTTCCAGAGTCTATTCTTTCTTAAGTAATGATGCCATTGAATATATGCAATATATGCAATATCTGAAACATTGAAAAATTAAAATGGCCAAGAATTTTGAAATGAATCTTTCCTTAATTAAACAAATCTTAAAATATGAACATTTTTCTGCATGAGCCTTATCATTGTTAAATATGTTCTTTTCATTCGTTACATCCTGTTTCTTCATGTTGACTTGAAATTGGGACATTAACTTTACCTCTCAACATTCCTATTTTCGAAAGTTATATCTAATGTGACAGTTCCCAACAAGAATGATCTGGTAATAAAGCTTTATTCGGAAGCGTAAAGGTTTTCCACCTTGAGCAAATTGGCAAATGCCTTATTCAGTACCAAAACTAAATCCTTGATGTTTAATCAAGAGCCTACAAAACGAATCGATGTTTTTTCACGTATTTTACATATAATCCTCTATATATTCTAACTTAACATATATCTAATTAAATCAACTATTCTTGCGATCTGATTTTTCTTGCACCCACTACGAACAGTATACAGCTATTGTCTCAACTTCTATTATCATGCAAGGATCTAGACGATTGCAGGATTAGTAAGAGGATTACTAGTCTGGCAATCACTACCTTCGTGTCTTAAATACAGGGATCTCCAGTAAGCTTCTCTTATCTCTACTAGTTAAATTCTTTCAGAACTTCTAATTCCAACTTTGGTTCACAAATAATTCATACTATAGCCTTATCTCTGACTTCTTAACTTCTTCCAATTGAATAGTTTACTCGCACGCATGCTTAATTTCAGAGAAGACAGATCAAAAAAAGAAATATTCGATGCAGAACTAGAGACACCCGTCTCATCTGATGACAGTGTCAGATGTAATTCAGTCTTAAAAAAAGTCAGTGATTGATAGTAGTTGTGATTATAAGCAGACAAATGCTCACCGGAAAGTTTCAACCTTTTAATTTCTTCTGTAAAGTTTTTCTTAAACAATTGTAATAGCGCATCATGAAAGGATTCCATATCAGGAGTAACCAATTTCGAATGAATTTGCAAGCACTTATCTAAAATTACGCATAGTTTATCAAACGCATTTTTCATACGTTTCTGGTCGTCTCCATACTCATCGTCATACATAAACCTTCTGTATTGCTCAACACCGCCGTTCACTGGAGAATCAACGACCCCAGCTAAAAGCGCTCTCAAATCTTTGAGTAATGATGAATATTCACTTTTCTCTTTAAATGCATTGATAAGCTTGGCTTCAACTTGAGCCAAATCGTTATACTTGTGCTCAATTGTCCTGACAGCATTATCCAATGGTGATAATTTGACAACTTGTATATCTCTTACGTCACTTTTATTTAAAATGGTCGGAAATCGAAGATTAGTTTCGTAAGTAATTTCTTCTGTCCATAAATCATAAATGGATTTTGTATCACCTAATTTTCTTATCAACGAGAAGTATCTTAACTCCTTATTTTTCGCATATTTTCTTTCACCAAAAGTTGCATTAATTGATTTCCCAGAAATTTCAGCATCAGGTTCTACAGAACTAATGTGTAAATATTTCCCACTTCGAGAGCTTTGCGTTAATTTTAGAGCCTCCCAATGATCAGGAATAATTCGCGCCCCAGGATGTAATTCCAACATTCTGTTATGAAAAGATTTGATGCGTTCAAAAGGTCTACCTTCAAATATTTGTATTATCCCATTTACACTTGGCGGAAAGCCCATTCCAACATACGTGACCCTAAAATAGGATGAACTCAAATTATCTGAGGTTGCCATACTTTTATACAAATTTGCTATTTTTGTGTGAACATTAGCAAAGCGTTTAAGATCATAGGTATGCAAGCGATAGGAATCCAATAATCCGTTATATGTTTCAAGTGCTCTTTCTAAGTTATTACCTTTTATAAAGTTCTTGGCAATAATATTGAATAAAGTTTCTTTTCTTTCAAATGAGGTTTGCCGCTGAAATTTTGGTCTTAAACTTGCACGTAGAATAGTATTCTGATCCCAACTATAAGTTGACGCTAATAGTTCCATTGTTAATGCTGCCTGGATATAATCTTTCTTTTCGATATTTTTCTCGTAGATTGTATTGATGAGTGAATCAAATAACTCGGGTTTATTAGCATTTTTCAAGTAAGCATTAATCTTCAACTCATGAATTGTTCTATCTTCGTCGAATGCCGGGCCGATGGGAATACAAGTATGCTCATTC